AACCTTATTTTCAATAAGCAATCCTGAAAAATATTTGGGGGTGCTTAACTTTTTTCCAGGTGTATAGTATTTGACTTTTAGTTAAGTTAGTTTTTGGGTACGTAGGCGTTAAACTATTTGTAAGAAGTAATAAGAATGGAAAATGTTGAAAAATAGGAAATTATCAAAATTTTAATGGTAAGGGGTAAAAAATCTTATTATTTCATAATAACAGATGAAAAATTTATTATTATTTTAAAGACATGTACAGACTGTATATACTGTTTCGCATGATAGATTAACTGAAACCAGGGTGAGGATGTAGGTTATGAGTTCAAATAAATTCGTATTGTTATTTATTCGACAGTCACTTATTTTCAATTTAACGGAAGTGCTGATTCCAGACTGTTAAAAAACTAATTTTTTTAAACTGTTGGCTCAGTTTTCCAGAATTTTAAGAGAAAGTTCATCTTGCATTCGTGGGATTATCTTAGTGTCACGTTAGGCCTAGCGTAGCAGACTCCAAGCTCTGAATCTCAATACTGCTGGAGTTAAGCTTTGCCAAATCAGTTAATGGCAGGTTTTAGGATCAATATCCAGGGTATTCAAGAAACCTCATTACTCTCTTCCACCATGGATGAATAGAAATAAGTAAAAAGACGAGAGCGTTAAAAAGTTCCTGAAAAGAAAAAAGGTATATATTAAATCGAATGAATGGAGAGGTGACACAAGAGAGACAAACAATCCATAAAGGTAGGATGCCAGTAAAAAGCAACTACACAGCGATTTAGTCACAAAGAATGATTCAATGAGGAAACGAAAACTTACATGAAAGAATCCAGGTGAAGCTATGCTTCGAGGAAAAACGTGTAAAGGATTATTTGATTGTCGTACAGTATGAGATTCAAAATGGAGAGATATTTAAGGATAGGAATCGCAATGAAATGTTGAATTCTTGAGGTAGACAGTTGAGTACTAACATAAGACGAAATTACGTACAGACAGAGAAGTTTGAAAAGCATCGGCAGAAACAACGTGCGAAAGAGAGAGGTCAGTTTAAGTTGGCTTAAGATTATTGATGAGAAATACAATAAGCAGAACTTTGTATGGAAGTGTCTGAAAAGGGCTGTTGAAACTGAGCAGTAACCTGGATATATTTATTACATTTAGTAAACGAAGCGTAAAAACATTTTAAAAATAGAAACTGAAATGTCAGTTTGAACCAAAATATAAACTGAATAAGACTGTTAAGTATAGATAACCCCAACTATATTTAAATCAGAAACCCGATCGGAAGGAATATAAAAGGCTGAAAGTTAGTACTATGATTGAGATGCCGAAACTTCAGTTGATTTTTTTTTAATGGGAAGAAAAGTAGAAACCAGGAAG